ATATATATATATATATATATATATATATATATATATATATATATATATATATATATGTGTGGAATTAGTCAGTTATCTTTTATCAGTTCCGTGACCTTGGGAACCGTTTCTAACATTGTGTGGAACAACAAAACATGACCTGTATTTATCATGATTTACTATATTTTGCATATGCAAATTCTTTCAGCATTCATATGCCACGTTTCCATCTCTCTGCACAGGACGAGCTAAAATTGGCTATAAAGCAAGGAAATACTCTATTGTCTTGTATCAAAGACCAGGCCAGCAAAACCGAGAGCCACATTTTGAACCCGGATGAGGTAGAGAACCAAACAACCGTTGAGAGGTGTGTCAAAATATTTTGCCGAACAAAGAAAGTTACACCATTAATTATGATACTCTAGCTTAAGTAGAATCCCAGCTTACAAAAGAACGTTGGTAATGTGAATGTTCCATTTGATTATTTTGCAAACATTATCGGAATGTTACGTTTGAATATTATCTGAACATTTGGAAATAAACTGTAACATAAGAATGTGAGATGAATGTCAGGCTAAAAAGTTTATGAAAACAAAAAACACTGCATGGTCGACATATAAAAATTGTTTTTGTTAGTGTTGTCAAATGATTAATCGCGATTAATCACATCCAAAATAAAAGTTATTGTTTACAAAATATGTGTGTACTGTGTATATTTATGATGTATATATAAATACACAAACATACATGTGTATATATATATATTGTTTATATTCATATATAATTTATATTATATATAAATATTAATATTTTATATGAACAAAACATATTTTTCTTAAATATATACATGCATGTGTGTGTGTATCTATACATGCATAATAAATATGCACAGTATACACACATATTATTTAAACAAAATATTTTATTTTGGATGCGATTAATCACGATTAATCATTTGACAGCACTAGTTTTTGTGCTAACGTTTTGTGAACATTATTAAAGACAAGACCAGCTAGCAAAAAATACTTCTTTTTTTTTTTTTAGCAAAAAATAATTTTGCTAACATTTCCATTCAGTTATGAAAATATTATTTCTGAATGTTTTCTGAACATTAAAAACATCGATTTTCAAAGGCATTTCTTCTTGGTTATGCGAAAGTTAAGGGAACATTCCATTTTATCATTTTGCAAACATTATGGAGACGTTACTTTTGAATGTTCTCTAAATAGTAATATTTAAAAATGCCAGACAAATGTCTAACTAATACATTTCAGAAAAAACAAGTTAATAATGTTTTAACATCTTGAGAACAGACGAACATTCTATTTATTCTATTAATTCTATATTATATTCTATATTCTATTACAATCTATTAATGTTACTGTGAGAACGTTTGTTCATAACTTTGGGAGGATCTTGCCAGAAGTTCTATTTTTTTTAATGCGGTAAAACATTTCTGAGTGGCTACGTGATATTCGGAATATGACATACGTGAGCAAAACAGAATATTGACTTTGTAGGAGATTTTAACCATCAGGAAACCATCAGGAACGTCAGCCAAAAAAGAAAGTCACAGAACAAGTTACATTCTGATGAAAGATTGTGAGCACCATTGAACCATGAACCATTCACAATAGGAACATGAACATTAATAAGTATTTTTAGATTTCATTTTGAATTTTGTTACAGTTGTGTTATTATTCTTTAAAGCCTGGTGTCATCTCATGTTCCTCTGTGAAATCTAATTCACTTCAGCTTCTCTGACATGCACACTGTAAAAGCGTTTGTTTGTCTCAGGTTGTTAGCGCAGCTCGATGAGACGGAGAATGCGTTTGAACAGTTCTGGTCGAGGCATCACCTCAAATTAGAGCAGTGCTTACAGTTACGGCACTTTGAGCAGGACTTCAGAGAGGTACGGTGCAGTGGATGTGCTCAAATGAAGTCTCTGTAAACTTAGTAGGCAGCCATTATACCAAATATCCCTGTAGCGGTTGTCTAGTCAACCAAGCTGAACTTGGTCTGTTTTGTCCATTGCATCAGGTGAAAGTTTCTCTGGATGGCCTGACCGAGACCTTGCTGGGTCTCTCAGACACCGGGGACTGTGTGGCTCGGGTGGAACATCTACTGGGCGATATGAAAACCTTGGAGGACAAAGCTCAGGTCAAAATCGTTTGAATCTAAAACCAGGCCTGGTATGCAAAGCAGTTATTACAGCATACAGGGCTCAACAATGAGCATTTGTTCTGCTGACTGGTTTAAACCAGTAGTTTAGATTTTTACTTTCCGCAGTCACTGTATAAATCCCCCCAATCACTGTCCAAATACATATTCATATAATTGAATATATATATATATATATATATATATCCTATACACTACCGGGCAAATTAATAGTTAAAATACGTAAATTAAAAATTAAATGTTTTTGAACAAAGGCTGCAAATTTTACAGTCAAAACGTTAATGTTGTGAAATATTATTAGAATTTAAAATAGCTGTTTACTATTTTAATATGTTTTAATATATAATTTAGTTCTGTGATGGCAAAGCTGAATTTTCAGCAGCTATTACTGCAGTCTTCAGTGTCACATGATCCTTCAGAAAACTAATATGCTGATTTGGTGCTTAATGTTTTGTTGTGCTGCTTAATATTTGTATGTGAACATGATACACTACATAACAAAGTTTGGGGTAAGTAATAAAAAAAGAAAAGAAAGAAGAACACTTTTATTCAGCAGGGACACATTCAATTTATTAAAAGTGACAGTAAATACATTTATAATGTGTGTGTATATATATATATATATATATATATATATATATATAGACAGTTGTTTCTTTTGTTTAGACATTTAAATTAGCATAGTTTGCCACGGCAGTGTTTGCAAGGAATAAAACCACA